ACACCACCCTTTACCCACTAACACCCTTACTCACCGAGGATGCTGAGGCTCACGCCGCTCCCAGATCTGGACAGGATGTGCTGACTCTGCCGGCTCATGGTTGTATCCAAATCACTTCGTCACTCATTCACTGCACTTGCACTCATCACTTTACTAAATCACTACGTCTCCCTTGTGGAATGCACTTTTGCACACTCTGGAATGGTCCGCTCCAGGAACTATACGATACGCACGCTGGGCGGGCGGGCGCAGAGGCGGGCGCTGAGGGCGCTGCTCTTGCCTGCTGTTTGCTGCTGCCTCGCCGCCGACTGACTGACTGCCCCGACTGCCTGCCTGGCCATGGCTGGCGCTGGCTGACTCTGCCCGGGCCCGGCTCGGCCCGCCCGCCGCGTCCCGGCTGCGCTCGGGCGTCGCCGTCTGCTCGACTCGTCACACGAGCAACAAGAGGCGAGCACAGCGCTGGGCCCTAGGGGGGCTCCCCCCCCCCCTCCGGTCCCCCCCTCGGATGGTCTGCACTCTCGGCCCGACCGTCCGTCCGCCCGTCCTGAGCAAGCAAGTCAGTCTACGGAGCCGAGTGCAGTGCAGTTGCCGGCTGCCGCATCTGGTCCCGGGCTGGAGGAGGCGGCACGGAACGGCGGGGCAGGACACAGGCCGCAACAGGTCCTACTCTGCACCGTTCTGCTCGCCTCTCGGGCCGCCGACGGCGAGAGCAACGTGATTGATTTCAGCGTCTGCGAGGATAAGCCGAGACGAGGCGAGAGGTGTGACTCGGACTCGGGTCAGGGGAGCCCAAACTGCTGCTCCTGCACAAAGGGCTGTTAAACATTTTTAACGGCTTTCTAAAAATGGCGTTACAAAACTAAAAGCCTCCATGGCCGATGTCCGCGTGCCTGTCCACAACGTTGTCTGTCTCAGTGAGTGTGTGTGTGTTTGTTTTATACAGTCTTATAGTCGCTGCCTTTGTTTTAACCGGCGGCAAAGAAGGTGTAAAGAAGAATAGGGAGCCGGGCCGGGGCCTGCTCTCCTCTATCCTGGCCCGGGGGGCCTAACGCACCACGGCGTCACAGATAGCATCTCCGGCCGGGCCAGCCAGGACCCCGCAGGGCTCGCAGCCTCCGTATCCAGGTCCAGCTCAGCGAGTCACACTGTTCTCATCTTTGTCACGTCTTGAGTTTCCCGGAGGAGGAGGAAATGGCATCTCCATAACAAGTGAAACGCTTCGGTCTGCCTCCGCTGCTACCGCTGCCTCCGCTGCTGTCGCCTCTTTCTCCTTTCTGCAGACAAGGACGGGCAGCACGATGTGGGAAGCGTGCTGACCTGGCGAACGGTGCAGCGGAGTAGTATGCAGATCAGGCTGCATGGCTGCCGTTTCATCACCACCACCACCACGACCACCGCCTCCTACCTCACCTCCTCCTCCTCTTCCTCCTGCCTCCGGAATCATCGCTCTGAAGCCAATATCATCGTCAACAGCTCAGCAGCGAGAACAACAATAGACTAATTTTTGCCTGGTGGCCGCTCTCGCTCGCGCAACTCAGAAAAGAGAAGACAAGGCTGTTTTCGACGCAACACAGACAAAATTGTACGAACAAAAACACATTTCAGTAATTTTTCAAAAGATCTTGGTGGAGTTTAAGAGGGCTGATGAACGTATGACTCAAACATAGTAGAGTGCTATTTCCTTTGTGTGCTTTATTGTTTCAATAAGAAGGCCACCGTCGAAATTCGAAATGGTCAACCTTCTATATCACAATATTCTTTATATCTTTTGTACCGAGTGTCGTCATTGGGATCAGTGGAGATCGCCGACGTCGCTTTCCCGACTGGGATCTCCAGTTTCGCAGGGTGGGATGCACCCCAACGTTGGTGCGGATGCAGCAGTCTCTCACACGCAGTTCGCAGAAAGTCGGCGTCAGCAGCAGCGGCACCGACGGACCACCGCCACACTCTACTCGGGAGAGACGATCTTCCACCACGAGACCGGATTTGTTTCCCTCCGCGATCCAAACTAAACCACCTTTCCTCTCACAACCCTCACTTTAGCCGCTCCAAATTAGCGACTTAGGCGGCGGGCGAGAGGGAGGGGCCGGGAGGGACTCTCTCCGGACCGGAAGTGGGTGACCCAACGTCGGCTATTCACAGCTCCACATATTCACGGAACCGACCGTCAACGCCCTCCGAACTCTTCCCGGAATGGGGCACACACTCTGCAGCGCCGCTTGTCTCTCTCGCTCCCAACCGATTACTGATTAGTGCTAAGGAGAGCAAGAGAGATAGGAGACGATAGGAGGAGAAATGCCAGACAGCTATCTGCTGCGGGCAGTAGATTATCGTTCAAATGTCGTACAAATTCCGACAGCCCCTTGATCAGCATCTCGTTTTTATTTCACGAACATTCATTTGTTTTCACGCAAGACGAAAGCTCCCGCTTGAGAGTAGGTCACTGAATGTGTATCCCTTGCCGATGGTAGATATTTTTTCTCACTTTAACCCGGTTCCTATAGGAATACAAATGGGGCCGAATCCGTCCCAGAATGCACCGCGTCGAAAAGCCAACAGAAGCCAAACCTCGTCGATACAAAGCGAGCGTCATCACATCACCAAACATATCGGGTGACTCGGTGCTCTCCCGGGCACGAAGTGGGGCTTGTGACTCAGCCGATTGAACAACGGAGGTGAGAAGCGCAACGCTCAGAGGCTCAGGGCCGCGGGGGGCTGCCTTGCTCCAATAGACTCGAGGGCGAGGGTAGCAACAACAAAACACGAACCCAATAGGAGGCACATTTCGAATTTTGGATACGATTTTTTGAGGTGTACGTCGCCGTCGCATGTGCTATAGAAAACGTGCATGGTCCTCCTTTTCATAAATCTAGCCAAACTCTTCCCCTCAAAAAAGGGTATAAGGGTGATGGTTGATGGTACTCACAAAGTGGAAGAGAGTGAGAACGACTATGCTATGAAAATGATATGATGGGTCCGTGGGGGTCCAGCACAGGTTAGGAAAGATTGAATTTCGGGAAATTTATGCGTGTCACCGCCACAGGTAGCCCCCTGCCTCATGGTGTTTTAGTTGTACTGTATTATTTTTGAGGGTGTGGGCGGCTGCGTCTCTTTTCTTGGCTGGCCAGGTAAAATCGGGTATAAACGACGCAGGTACGTCCCCCATTTGCATATAAGGCCGTAGAGTTGATCAAGACGTCACGGTGTCGCCTGTCTGGCATTCCCTCATATTTATACCACTGGATCTGCCAATAATGAGGAGGCGCCTATTCGCACTCCAGAGACAGAGTGCGCGGTTGCCATTATTTCCATACAATGCCGTGTAAACATGCCGCCGGCGACAGCCGACATTCTCGTTCCGAAAAACGAAATCGAGAAGAATGGCGGCAGAGCCGTTTTATTTTGCACGATCCCTCCGCCGCGCTGCCTTTTCCCATCCCGCTCCGGGTCATTCTTTTTCGGCATGACAGAATGGCGCCTCCTTAGCACACACACACACACAGCCGCACTCCGTCCCTGCTCCCGACAAGAGGGAGAGAGAGATAGAGAGAGATAGAGAGAGAGAGAAGGAGAGAGAGTTAGAATAATCCTAAGCTGGTCGGGTGGGTACCGACGACCGGACGGTGGTGGTAGCGCTAAGTTCTGCCCGCCCCAAGATGTACCGGAAACGGTCGGCGCACGGTGATTTTGAATTCATAACATGGCAGACGAAAGCGATAAAATACTGCGAATAAGAAGGCGGCCGACACGTTACACACACACGCACGCAGGCGCGCACTCTCCTCACACAAACAGAACATCACGAGTAGCGGAAATGAGGACGCGTTTGCTCTAATCGGCCCAAAAGTCGGCCTCCCTGGGCAAACAAAGGATGCGGCAGCGCCTTCATTACGCCGCACTCTTCTCTCTCTCTCTCTCTCCTATCTCTCTCTCTTTCCCTTCCCATCTCCTGGTTTATGGCCGTCTCACAGCAGCCGAGCCCAAAGGATCGCCCCCCTGCACACCTTTGCCCTTGGCCCTTGTCCATCTCCCCCTCGCCCAGCTACTTTTATAACAGGTGTTAGAGGGACCACAGCCAGCCAGCCAGCCTTTATTTCAATAAATGGACACGGACGCGCGGGAGGGGGGGAAGGGAAGGGCATAGAGAAGAAGAGGGGAACCGGTAGGAGAGAAGGGGATAGGGAGGAGAGAGAAAGGGAAGGAGGAAGGAGGGCTCCACAGATGATGAGCTTTCGAGGCCCTATAGTAACGCCCTCCGGTCCGTGGTAATAAGGGGCCCAGCAAAGGGAACAAGGGTGCTGGGAGCCGGCATCAGTCAAATCGCTCCGAGACATTTCGACTTTCATTGATTGCCGTGTACCTAGTCCGTGCCGGAATGCGCCGTACACACAACACTAACTTTGCGTTGTTTCCCCCTCGAGATTTTCATCGCCGCAACGCCTGTAAGTACTGTACGTTACTTACAAGCAGCAGGAAGCAGGCAGAGAGAGCACCTCAGCGCAGGCGGCACGGCCGGGCCCGGACCGCGCGCCGCGCACTTACTTCACTTCACATTCGGAAGTTGGCCACCAACGAATTAGGGCTCGCCGCGACCGCAGCTTCTCCCGCACCGGGATTGAGGTTAAGATCACCCCGAGTCACACACTGCGGTCCGCGTGCGGCCCCAGAGCGGTCGGGGCACTCCTTCAAAAAAAACTTTAATCTGGAGAAACCTCCCGCGTACGCGCGAGAGCGAGGTACGGTACATACTGCTGCTGCGCCCCATATTAGCCGTTGTATTGCAGTTCCGTTTTATTACGAAATGCAGCAATCTCCGATTGTCCACGCTGCGGCCAGACTGCGAGAACGCGGAGAGCGAGCGAGCGAGCGAG